TTTCGTCAGTTTAATCTACAAAACCTTGGAAACAAGATATTTTAAATCGTATAGGAAATTGAAGAAATTATTTCAAATTAATCAATATTGTACTCTCTACTCAAAGGTTTTCTTCAAAAATTAATTAAAGGAATATTATAAAATTTTCGCATTTATTTTGAAGTATTTTGAATACCATTATCAGAAAATAGTTTCGAGAGAGAGAGAGAGAAGACAGATAGACAATATCAAAGTTAACCTCCATCATTGCCTACATATTGTAAAAAACTACCTTGCGGTTTCTTCTATCTGCTTATGTGTTTATCTGTTTAATGTATATGTTTATTTAATGTTCTTTTTCTCAATGGTTTATTTTATTTTTGATAATTCTGTTACTTACTCTACTACAATATAAATTATTGTAAATAGTTTTAGGCGCAATTATACAGATCGGATATATCGTGTCTTGTTTGAAACTGGTGATAAATAAATAAAATCAAAGCTAAAATATCAATTTTCTGGGAATAATTTATTCTAAAAAATTCAAATTAATGAATCTACAAGGGATAAAACTATTTACATATAATTCATGACTACATAACAATATTTCACGAATCATTAACTATAACGTGACCTACACAATAACGTAAAAGCTAGAGATTTGTGAATTAAAATATTCTAGAAGAAACATTGTTCCTGCGGGAAAACTGGACAAACTACACTTCACGTCATCTATGACTATCCGAATTTTGCAGAATTGAGACATCGTTTGTTCCCTGATCTAAATGATCTAACTTTTTCACCTTAGTCACTTTGTCTATATAAATTTTATGAACTCTGTAGTAAATATATATATATATGTCATAATATATGCTCTTCCAGGATTAATAAAACAAACCAACAGCCAACGAGAGAGAAATGGGCAGCTAAAGCGAGACACTTTAGACAACTAACTTACTACCATTTTTTGGCCACATTCCTGAGGGGGGCGTCACCACCTGGCGACTATCCTGGTTAGCCCCCCGGTTGTGTACACAGGGAAAACAGTCGTTCAGCTGATAACGTCTCGCTCGCTCTCTCTCGGCTGGCTGCCTGGATGATTGCTCTAACAACTCGTCGTGTGATTATTTCTCTCCTCACCACATTTACCACTATATTGTCACATCGAAAGTCGACAGGATAAGACCTGGCCGGGAAAAAAATCCCTCATATACCGGAGTATGAAGAAACAAGAAGCCAAGCCACGATGATCGGCCAAACCCAACTCAACTGTAACCACTCCTCTTCTAGCCCTCAACCCCTTCTTCGCCAACCTTTGAACCGTGATCCCGAAGAAGTATTCACCTACGACGGAGATGGAGCTGCCACGCACTTCTTCCAACAATAGATCTGCCCAAGAACGATCGTCGCGCCAGAGCAGGACACCTTCCATCATCATGGACAAGACTCCGTCATATCCCTGCCGCTACTGTGATGTACAACACTGGTACGCACAGTGTCACAGACAGAACTCTCCCGAATCTCAATGAACTTACCTGCTCTCTAAACCAGCATAACCTGTAAGTGAAATTGTTTTACCCCTTCCATTCATTCTTTAAAGAACTCACTCCTTGTAAACTCTGATGCCAATCTTTACATAATTAGCTCCATTTATTTTCTCCAAGCCTATTAACAATGGTTTTATTCTCCATACTATTTAGCTAGATATTTGTAACCATTTAATTAGTTATCTTACCATTAGAATTTAACAATCGTCATTTTAATTAAATAATTTCCATTTTAACGTAACTTTAAAGAAAAAAAAAATGGAATTCTATCTCTTAATGCTTTACGATTTTCACTATTAACAATAGATTTTTCATAATCAACTTATCTACCTGCCCCTTAATGCCCCCTCTCATTCTTACAACTTTGTTATCCTTATACCAGCTCAGGACCTTTATAGAGAATTATTGATCAATCAATTATCGAACTTCTATATTGTCATTTCAAAATCCTAACCTTCGCCCTTCATTTATGATAATATATTCCGTAGTTCATCTCTAGCATATCCACCGACCCACACCATCTAGCCAATGGCGTGTTCGTCACAGGATGCAGATTGACTAACTACTAGATGTTTATCAACTACTTTTTGTTCGCACTTGAACAATCTGCATCGAGCGACACAGTTCGCTTCTTCTTCTCGCGCCACACGTTCGCCACACGGACCCTGTCTTCAAATCTATGTTTGTCCATTGTCCAAACCAGCACGATATAGCCTACCTTCGATATTTCCCACGGAGGTACGTTAAACATCGTCGCTGATTCTGTCCGGTCCGTCATCATTTCGCGCAGACATGGGTCTTACTTTCAACCCACCGCGAAATCATCGCCTTGCACAAGCTCCCACGACGGTTCAAACACCTCGTGTCCGAGCAGCTAGTCACTTGTAACGGACAACGCAGTCCTCGTCCCAATTTTTGGCACTGTGCGCGCATACTTTCCACAAGTTAAATATAAGTCCATTCGACTTCCTCACCTACACACGGGACTTTTCCCCTCGGACTCGCTACACAAGTAACTACATAGATAAGTTAGATTGGCCCAGGGCAAGTCTCCCCTCGCCCTGTTCGCCGAAGTACTAACATTGTATGTAGTTTTATATTTACCTCAGTCCTGAGCTCACACAATTGCCAACCTCAATCTCATTTCTCGTACTCTACACTTATAGCATAGAAAGCCCATGACAAGTTTCCCCTTGCCATGTCCGCCTGAAAAATATCTTAAAGTGTAGAGTTCCCCAGTCTTAATGATCTTCAGAATGCCATCATATGTATGTGACTCTTCTTTCCCTTGTTCACACTCCTCAATAACATTCCTCTTATAGTACATTAGATTTTGTTATATATAGCTTTTATAACCTTGATATTTTCAAAGATTTCCTTAAATGTCTAACTCTCCGGTGTTGTAAAACTGCTTGTAAATAATATTTACTTGTGTACAATACAATATTTTATTTACATAAAGCTATGTCACCATTACCTTAACTAATTTCAACTGTAAAATTATTTTCTCTATTCCTGGCTTCACCAGCTTTAAATATACTTAAACAATGTTCAGCCTTCTTCAACGGGGGCCATATGTCATAATATATGCTCTTCCAGGATTAATAAAACAAACCAACAGCCAACGAGAGAGAAATGGGCAGCTAAAGCGAGACACTTTAGACAACTAACTTACTACCATTTTTTGGCCACATTCCTGAGGGGGGCGTCACCACCTGGCGACTATCCTGGTTAGCCCCCCGGTTGTGTACACAGGGAAAACAGTCGTTCAGCTGATAACGTCTCGCTCGCTCTCTCTCGGCTGGCTGCCTGGATGATTGCTCTAACAACTCGTCGTGTGATTATTTCTCTCCTCACCACATTTACCACTATATTGTCACATATATATATATATATATATATATATATATATATATATATGATACATTTTGAATGATATTCAACTTCTATCTATTTTGCATAATGTTCTTTGTTTGTAAAATAATTAATTTTACCGCGTGCCAAGTATGTAAATTTTCTTGTTTGTTTTGAAAAAGATTTGAAAAATAAAGAGATTATTGAGGTGGTGACAGGCACACACACACACACAAACGACTGCTAATTTTTTTTTTCCACACAGTAATTATACAACATATATATATATGTAAATTTGGAAATATTTAATTATAAGTCCTAATTGTTTGCTGTTTATTTTGATTCCTCGGGAATTAGGCACAAATATTTCAATATCGCGCCTGGCTGATTAATAAATTGAATTAGTTATAAATTTTCCGGAAGCCTTTTCATTTCGATATTGAAGCAAAGTCATATATATATTAGTGTGAAAAACAATTTTAAAAATATAAATATGGTTAGGTGTTGACATTAAAAACAAAAAAAGGCATATCCTGATCAGGCTCACATGAGCTTTTCTAGATCGGTCAACAGTCCGAAACGCGTTCGTGGATGACTTTTCTTGATTTAACAAGTAATTGGGTGGCCAAATATCACAGAACAAGTTAAATAAACGTTTAGTTTATTTTTGTTTCACTCTGTCTCTCTTCCATCTAGAAAATATATGCCTTTTTTTAAAACATATTTTAATAAACAAAAAGGCTATCTAGAAACCTTGATTTCATTACAATTATACAATAGCGCTGTTATACCTGATAAATAAAATGAATTTGGTGTATTAATCGGATTTTCATCATGCTTTCTATATATTTTTTAAAACATAAAACAAGCTCTAAAGTAAAGAGAGAGAGAATTTTATTGAAAAAAATTATTCAAACATCAAATAAAATGCTGTAATTCATAGCTAATTTTTGTTCAATGATGTATATTAACATGATTAAAATAAAAACAAATCGTAAATCCCTAAAATCACTTTACAAAAAGAAGAAATTGCTTCTATGCAACAACGTTATATTGAAAATATTTATTTCCTAAATAACATTTTTCTGCCTGTATATAAACCTTCAGCATAACAAATTTAGGACTTATCTGTTGTGATGGGAAGAGCCTATTACAAATTCTAATCTTCACCCCAGAGCGTTTCTCATCGTCAGCACATTCCTAGTTGACAGAAAGAAAATTGATTTCATTTTGAAGATTAGATGGGGTCAGTGATTGGTGACTATTCAATACCTTCATCATTTAGAAAACTTCCGAATAAATATTTGCATCTTTTGTAGATTGACTTGAATATTTTTATTGAATGCTTAACTATATTTTTGAGTGAAGTGATTTATTTCTCTTGAACATATGTATTGTTATTAAGATTATTTTGTTGTATGAATGTAAATATTAATTGATTTTATTTATAATACAATATAATGCGGTTTATGATTTTAGAACGACATTTTAAAATTATCCTGCATGTGTTTCTTTTGAACGAAAAATTATTTTAAGGATAAATAACGATTATTTCTAACCTTAGGGATGAAGTATGAAAATATGAATTGTGAAAAGTAATGAAAAACGGAAAAATAAAGTATCCAGGGATGGGAATCGAACCCACAATGTTCCGCTTACCGGGCAGATGCCATGTCCACTAGGCTACCCTGGACATATTTTTCCGTTTGTAAATTTTATTTAAAGTAATTTATAATACAATATAATGCGGCTTATGATTGTAGAACGACATTTGAAAATTATATTTATGAATAAAATGATTTATTATTGATTTTTAGTAAAGAAAATGATATTTATTGAAACCTCGAGCCATTATGACTGTGATATACAATATATTAAACTCTTAATCTTGTATTACAATTTATTATACAATATTATTTGGATTATGATTGGAAAACGACGTATTACCGCTAATGTTACGGTAAAACTTGTCAAACGTCATTGGAATTTATTATTTCTACAATTTTGCAAAAATTTTAATCAATTCTAGATAGATAGAAAAGATTTTGGTCGAAACGTCGAGAGAGTAAAAAAGGATTTACTAGACGAAATATATCGAATTTTAAGGACTAATACAAGCATGTATTATGTACCTTCCTTTCTTTTCTTCTTCAACTTCTACTTAAACCTTGTAATTAATCAATTTTTAATGTAAAATAGGTTCTGAATTTAGTGTTGTTTCTTGACGTAAGCATTCTTTGTGGTGATATCGCGTATGATTTGTTGATAATAAATAAATTCTCATATATTCATAAACAAAATATTATCTATATAAAACGATTATACTATTGAAATTCAAACAATTTTCACCATTTTTATAATAGTTGTAGTAGTAGAATCCTCGATAAACTGAAAGAACAAAATCTTTTATATGGAAGCAGAATTCCCTGAGGTTATGGAGTGATCATTAAGAAGAGATATTACATTTAATATGACACTCTGAAACTTACAGCAAGCAGACAAAATCAGCAGAAATATCTATTTAATCTTTATTTATTTGTGGCGTATATTGTAGCCTAGAAATCAAGTCTTGGAATATCTTAAGATGTAAAAGTATTTATTGATGACGTCAGTACGACTATACTACAATTATCAACAAAGCTATCTACAGCTAGAGAATTTCGAGCAAGCAAGCTAAGCAACTAAATGATGATTAAGCAAATATAAAGTGATAAATCTGTTTTAAATATTTTCATTGAATAATTAAATTAAATAATAAAATATAAATTATTTCTTCGCCACAATATTCTAATAACGAATTTATATTAATTCCTTAAACGTTATTATAAAAATTCAGGCTGATATTTTGTAAAAGAAACTAAATATTTATTGCAATTTCTATTTTTCGAACTAAACAATTTCTACTGTTATTACAGAATTAGTGATTATATAAAATTAATCTACTTATATATTTGCCTTATTCTGTCTGTTTGTCTGTTTGTTTGTCTGAAGCTCACGGATGGGATTTTTCATAACCATCGGTGGTTCAGTGGTAGAATGCTCGCCTGCCACCCGGGCGGCCCGGGTTCGATTCCCGGCCGATGCATTTTTTTTTTTTTTTTACAATTTTTAAAACTCATTTATATATTATACAAGAATGACATCAACGGCGCCAATTTATAATTGTAACGAATAGTATTTGAATAAAAGCATTTAATCGGGTAAAACCCGGGCGTTGCCCGAGTCATTCGTATCTACTTATATATTTGCCTTATTCTGTCTGTTTGTTTGTCTGAAGTTCACGGATGGGAATTTTCATAACCATCGGTGGTTCAGTGGTAGAATGCTCGCCTGCCACGCGGGCGGCCCGGGTTCGATTCCCGGCCGATGCATTTTTTTTACAATTTTTAAAACTCATTTATATATTATACAAGAATGACATCCACGGCGCCAGTTTATAATTGTAACGAATAGTATTTGAATAAAAGCATTTAATCGGGTAAAACCCGGGCGTTGCCCGGGTCATTCGTATATAATAATTGTATAAACGAATGCAAGACAAAATCACCGCGAATGTTTTTTTTTTAAGGCAATTTCTTTTTAAGGCAATTATCGTTATTTATCGTTAATTTTTGTTTCGATTTTATTGAAAAAAAAAACGATATGGTGCCTTTAAAAATTGATCTTTATTACTATGCAGTTTTCTATTTAGTCAATATACCTAAGTTTATGTTGCAAATGTAATTATCTCTATCGATTTAGCAGGTGAAATGCAAAAAAAAAATCGACATGATGAAATCTTTATGAAAATTCACATTTTTATTTTTATATTTTCAAGACACACACAGTTTGGGGCGGGACGTCTCACAAGAGAGACATCCACGGCGCCAATTTATAATTGTAACGAATAGTATTTTAATTAAAACATTTTAAAAACACACAGTTTGGAACGGGACGTTTCACAAGAGTGACATCCATGGCGCCAATTTATAATTGTAACGAATAGTATTTGAATTAAAACGTTTTTAAAATATATACGCACTCGGGTGAAACCCGGGCTTTGCCTGGGCCATTCGTCTAGTATTAAAATAATTCTTTAATTAAGATTTTCAATTTTAATTATAATGAATATTTAATTAACTTTTGGTCATAATATTTTAATATATAGTAGGCTTTGAAGAGAAATATTCTTTTATATTTTATTTTTTTATGTTTATCTTATGTTATGAATTTTATTTTTCAAATATTAAAAATCTTTCAAAAAAAAATACAAAAGTGAAAAAAAGAGCTCTTTCATATCGAATAAACATATAATTATATTCAATATTTGTGATACTAACACACTTCGAAATTTTAATGATTTCGTATTTATAGAGATAAAATAATTTATTTTATAAATTTAATTGCCATCATCTATTGATGAAATTTACAACAATAATTTTCACAATGTATTTCTTTTCACGTATATCTTCATATAAAATTTTATGATGCACTAACGCGCCATCTGTTATGAAAATTCTAAACTATTATAGAAGCGTATGATCCTTTTAAAATAAAAACATAGCAGTAAGAGCAGTAGAATTTTTTTTTCAAAAGAATCATATGATTCTATAATAGTTTCGAATTTTCATAAAATATTATACATTACTTATACTAAATTCTTTGAATAAATCTCAAATAATATTTTTAAACTGAAAAATTCAAATAATTTTACTTTTCTTTTTTTTTTATTTCAAAATTCATTATCGTTAATGACTCATAAAATAATTAAATTCTTTCTCCGACGAGATAAAAAAAACAGAAGATTTAATTTCAAAAATTAATCCTTCTAAAATAATATATAACATTTATATTTACTTTCTTCTCTGTGTTATATTTATTATTATATTAGTTAATAATTATTATTTTATAAAAATATAATATAATAATACGTTATATTTGATAATAATATATCAATATGTATTATTATTTAATCTATATTATTATTATTAATAGGGCTTGATGAATAGAACAATAAGGATGGTTGAATTTTTCTAACATATCTCATTATATCTCGGCTCCTGTCATCTGACTTCAGGAAATAGGGCAAATCCATCATAATCACTCATATCTCCACCATATATATATATATATAGTTCCACATTAATTTATTCCTCGTGCCAACATTTTAGAAATCCTATTAAGATAACCCTTAGCCAATTTAAAAATATATTATATTAGAATATTGTGAAAAAAGCCATCTAAAAATATGCTTTTTTCATTATTAAATAGTTAAGGCTAAAGTATGAAAACATAGTTATGACATATATAATATATACATTACATACAATATACTAAGAATGCTATTTAAAATATAAAATGTGTAAAAATATCGATTTTTAAAATTTTGAGTATATTGCTGAATATAAGCTTTTTTAAAAGCCCTAACGAAGTTAGGTGTATAGCAATTGATATATAGGCATTTTGTTAAAAGGAAAATGTTTTATTTTTTTTTTTTTAAGAAGTTGGGTTGGCCAAATATCAGGGAACAGGCTAAATCAATGTTTAGTTGATTTTTGTTTCACCAGATGGCGCTCTGCTTTCTGAAAAGCACATCTGCTTCTGGTCAGGATATGCACCGACCAAGAAACAGAAAAAATATTTAGTTTACCAAATTCCCTGCCTCAACTGCAATAGTGTCTACATCGGCGAGACATCAAGAGACCTTTCAATCAGAATCAAAGAACACCAAAGAAACATCTCTAAACTAAACCCAAACTCCTTAATAGTTGACCACGTCAGAGAAACCGGGCACACTCCAGACTTCAATAATACCAGAATCCTCCATACAAATGCCAAAACTAAAACCCAAAGACTCATTCTTGAAGCAATAGAAACCATGAAGCACCCTAAACCATTAAACAAAAGTTTACAGTTGCCATCACAGTACGTTCCCCTTCTATCCTAAAAATCTTCAAAAGTCTCCACTAAATCCTTTGAACTGTTTATAATTGATTCTTTATATTTATTCAATTACGTAAATTTATTTTAAGATATTTTTGTACCATATTATATTTGAAGTTAGGATCAGACATGACGTGGCCACGCGGTGCTATTGAAACGAGGGCGATAGGGGCGTGGCAATTTTCTTTTCTTTTATTTTATTTTAAATACGATATAAAATCTCTCCTTGTTTTTACACTATAATTAGCTGAAGAAGGGCTTGCCCGAAAGCTTTTAATCGCGTTAATAATAAAAAAGAGTTGCGGCGATATATGATTCCTTCTTTCTAATTTGTCGAAATCCGCAAAACGTTTACCATGAATAAGCGATATTATAAGAATACAATTATCATACTATTTATAAATGGAAATATTGAGTTTGTTTGTTTTGATATAAAATAGATAGATATAATATATTATATATGTTAAATATATAAATTCACTTTCCATCTATCGGTAAAATTTATAAGAAATAAATTTACCTGACAATGTGTTTATTTTCAATAATACTACTCTGATCAAAAGGTTTCGACACTTTGCTCATAAGTTAAAAAAAAAAAAACTTTATTTTTCTTCCAAATTCAAATTGTCCCTTTCAAAATAGTCCTCGTTGGCTGCGATGCTCTTCAGCCACCTTTTTTTCCAGTCGGCAAAACACCTCTGGTAGTCTGTTTTCGGGATCGCTTTCATGGCCTTCTTCGATTCCACTTTGATCTCTTCTATGCTCTGAAAT